CGGAAATCTTAAATTAGAAAGAAAAGAAGAAAAAATGGAATTTGGGCCACTTTTGTTTAACATCCCATCTAAACACCAAATGGGATACCTGTGGAGTAAAACTTGGTCGAACATGGTTACAACAAGAATCACGAATGCTAGTCTTTTCATTGATCGAAAAACTGCTTTTGCAACGATTTGGTTCATTCAACGTTAGGTTTTTATGGAGACTTTATCGGGAAGACTTTTTACTGCATAATAAAGCCTTTCGAAGGTACAAAACCTGCATGATATAAACGGTACAGAAGTCTGTGTTCAGTCTTTTATGGTCGACAGCCCCAATGGCGCCGAATATTTGTAAGTTTGCGATTGACAGCACCAGGTTCTTGGTCTCCAGGTATGAAATTATTTATTAACTGTTAAGTTTACCTTGCTTTTTTCTTTAAATGTCTTGGATTCAAAGCCAATACCACTSTGTTTTCTCTTTGGGGTGCCGTGACTTCCACGTTCTGGATTTTTCTTTGAATTCTCAGTTGCCTTGTACCTGAAGAAAGAAAATATAACCCTTTCTTCAAGTGCCGGTAGTATTTTAACAGTTAGTTTTGCTTTGAATTTAGCATTATAATCATGTTTGTAAAACCCAAAACTAAACGTTGCTGTTAGAAAATTTATTTACTAGCTTTACCACAGGAAGACCGATGTAGCAATCTCTCCGTTCTGGGATAACACTCTTTTATAGCTTTTTTACATAATTTTTCAAGGTATTATTCTTATTTATGTCTTTTTTTACTTGGGTTACATAGATGGATTTCTTTCTTTTTTTAAATTTTTTTATTTAATCGTATTTGAGACAAATATGGGCCATGATCAGGACGGGATCCCTGTGGTTGGTTTACTGAGAAGTACTGGACTTTGTTAAAAATTGTAGATATCGGGAAAAAAACTTAACAAATGTTTGCTATAAACCGAAGACTGAACATACRATGAATAATCCATATTATGATCCATATTATAAAGCTGTTTCCAGATAAATTTCTTAATTTCCCCCCTCGAGGTAATATGTACTTATTGACTGAGTGGGAGGGCCGTACGGGAAAATATTTGGCTCGAGGTGATGCCGTACGGACCGAGCGCAGTGAGGTCCGTACAAATGACCGAGAGCCAAATATTTTCCCGTACGGCCCGACCTAACTCAGTCAATAAGCATTTTATCATATGACCCTCACGAAAAAATCGATAAAAAATAGAAGAAATAAAGGAATAGTAAATAACAGCTAAAAAAGAGAAAGCGCGCGGATTCGAGCAGGGCCGGACGGGTTTTTCCGGCCCGCTTACGTCAACCCGTCCGGCCCCCATCACGTGACTTTTTCCAATGGTTTTATTAGAGCGCGCGAGCAGGGCCGTACGGGTCATATGATAATTTCCACTTATTTATCTCATATRGTTTCAGTTTCTGAAAATACCGCATATTTTTTTACGCATTACCATGGTAATAACAAAACCTATTAWTTAAAATACTCCGGAAAATGAATTATATTCATTTAGGAATCAGAAACCATTTCCTTTTCGTCAAAAACATGTTTATCATTATAATTTTTTTGCAGTTTTCTTACGACTTACCTTTCGCGAGATACACAAAGTTTAAAAGTGTATTTCGCTGCTTGCATAGTTATTAAAGATGTGTTTCTCCAAGCATATTTTTCTCGGATAAAAATTCCGAGCTCCAGGCGAAAAACACAAAGTTGTTTTTCGTTACAATATCTTTGAGTAAATTAATGTTTCCTTCCGGAGATTTCGAAAATTTTCATCATCTATTTTTTCTTTATCGACTTTACAGTATTTAGATTACTCTTCAATAATTTTATCATACGATATCATTTTCTTTATTTTTTTTTAAAAAGAAATCCTTTTGGTTCATAGCGCTTTCTGTTTATTCTGCTACCGCGAATATCAACTGAGAATCAATACACTTGACAATTTAGCTGAACTGTTTACTTAATAAAATATAAAGCAGTACAAAAGTGTCTTTTTTAAGACTATAGGGTTTACTTTTCGAGCCTTCTTGCCAATGAAAATAAACCCAAATTTCTGGATAAGCCTCGAAAATGTTAATCGTATCAAGGGAAAATAATTCCCCACTGCCATTGTATCTATATATTTTAGCTTTAAAGTATCAAAACCTTGTCAAATATTCCTGCMTTCTGGATCACATATCCTTACATATTTGTACGGAGATTGTAAGACCAGACTTWACTGACAAATAAACGGCTCAAAAAATACACGGGACTGCCGGAAATTGAAAGCATTTTTATGAGAATAATACGAATCTTGTTTTTCGTTACAATATCTTTGAGTAAATTAGTGTATGCTTCCGGAGGTTTTGAAAATGTTAAAAATTTTCTTACCTTCGCCATCTCATGCASGATGAAACAAGAACATGAACGACTTTTGTTGCCCACTGGAACTTCTCATAAGGCTGTCGAGAAATGTAACGAAAGTTTGCTTTCTTTAAATAACGTTTGTCCATAGAAAATATCTTCCAAAGAACTTGGAAACAGGGAATTTGACTAAACAGACAAGAGAATAAACTACAGGCAGGATATACAAGCCAAAAAATGACACAATAATCAATAAGAGTCGTGGGGCTTTACACAGTTAAAATTTGCATTTTCTCAATAATTATCGAATAGTAACTAGTAAACAATAAAAATTAGATTTCATTTATGCAATGATTTAATAATTTCACACCAAATTTCAAGGGCTTTAGAAGTTTTCACACTTAAACACACAATTAACACATTTTCTATTTTATTTTATTTTATTGCATGGAGTTCGTTTTTGAGTTCTTTATCTTTTAGCAGCTTGGGTGGAGTCAGAGTCGTGAAGTCATTTTCATCAGAAAAAAAGCCAAGAAAATGTCGAGTYTTGACGTTTTGAAGTTGATAAAAATCTTCTTGGATAACGACCTTGGTTTTTGACTGAGAAATGAATTTTGTAAAGTAAATAACTTTTAGGAGCTAAAGTTTACACAGCTGAACTCAAGGAAAATGAATGAAAAAAATCTTTAATGAAATAGAGAGAAAGTCACCGACTGCGAAGGATAATAGGTCTCACTAATGAACAGAATTCAGAACAGCATGTATATATATTGAGGTCTATGACTAGCGATTCAGCTTMGTTGGTAAAACGCTGGCTGTCTCCGGCTGCTTGAAAAAAACAAGTGAACTAATGGATTGTAGAACAACYTGTGCAACTTCCCACAGTAATTCTAGAACTTTCGACAAGAATTTATAAAAAACTTCCMTCTTTATAGCATTTTTCTTGCTTTCTAAAAAAACCATGTTGAAAAGTAAAGAATCCCTTCTCTCCTTTGATTTTAATTTTCTAAAAAAGGTAAAAAGSTTTCTTTTTTATATAACAAATTGTAGTTAATATGACCGAAATTTTCGACAAGTTTTAGCTAAACCGYGTAGTCGCAAACAAACATGGGTCAGTTTTCATGTTGTCATACAAATGGCTTCTCAAACGTGTTCTCTATATCACTCGATATTTTCTTAAGGATTAAAAACGAGTTAGAGAAGTCAAACTTCTAATCACGATTCACGGTTAGTGACAACTAACTCACCAGTATAAGTTTTTTAGAAATTTCTTTCCTCAAAAATATAGGCTTCCAATTTTATTTCTTGAAAAAGTTTCAAGTTTAGAAAGAAAAAAAATCAAAGTTTACGAAGCAACATTTTGAACGTTTTAAATTGCTTTGCAAGCTAGGCACATTGATATCGTTTTACTACTTATAATTTTGATTTTTCTACTCATGAACCGGCTATATATCTTTGCGACAAAAGAGCAAAGCTCCAAAAAGTATATATAAGTTCTAGTAATCAGTAGATTTTAAATCATTCTTTCATATATTTTTTCAAATTCTTACCTTTCTATATCTTATCTTACTTTTCTCGAAGCAAACAGCCGCTCTTCTTCTTTGTCTCATTTCTCGCCTAAATGAATCAAACTGACTAACTTTCCGCCTTTGTAGAAAATAATTTTCATGTTCACTGTACATCTTTCAATTGAATAAATTATTTCTTGTCAAACTAGCTCTTCAAGCAATCTTTTTCTAAATGATTACTTGACTACAGTCGGTTTTAAGACCCCGTTTAATCTCATTGTAAATATTCAATTCAAAGTCCTAATAGCTAGAAGATTGGAGAATGGTCTACGTGACAAATGATGAGGTCTCCAATCACGAACGTTTAACTCGACCGGATGGAAACTATTTCGTTTAATTTTTTCTTTTCAAAGTCAGATAACCTAAATTTGAAATGATACTCTGGATAATTCTTTCGAAAAGGAACTATCAAACAAAAGAACATTTATATCAACTGCGTTTATCAAGTTCAGCAGAGAACTATCAAATGTTTTTGAAACTGAGAAAAAATTGGATCGCTTTTCAGATTTTCAAAGTATTTAAGGTCTTTAAGAGTCATTAGTGCATGTTAGTATTGCCTAACGACCGACATTATTAACGTTTGCCATTCACCTGTCTGCGAAGACGACCCCAAAGTAAAACCGCTACRGCATTTAGGCTAGAACTGTTGACAGATAGATTGGGAACTTTACGATGATTGGTTGACGAGATAACAGAACATGATGCATTGGCCTTTTAGCTTGCTGTCGTGTCTTTCCGGACTAGAACGCGAGATGTTCCGATGTCACATTAACGTTTTAATATAAACGCATCAGACCTYTAGTGTACATAGAGTATAGCCACGAGTATATATACCTTTTAATTATTGCTTTGAAGTCATTACTGAATCAATATATAGCTAGATGTAAGACAGAGACACTGACGGCCTTCATGACCTGGTGTTCTTGTTTGTTATGGTGTGCACTGATAACAAGTGAGCTGAATGCTTAATTCAACGAAATATCTAAGACTTAGTATTAAGCGGTACTGATAACGTGAAAAACAGCAATGCTTAGGATCTCGTAAAACTTCTGTACTGAAATTGAGCGCAATTTCTTTCGTTATCATCTTTTGGTGTTCCCCAAGGTTCCACTTTCGGACCACAACGTTATGATAAAAYAAATATCTCCAAAGAAGAAGCTTATGCTGAAGAATTTTTGTCTTTCAGAAATTAACTAACTAAACGTATTTCGTATTTCCTCTCATGTTAGTTGCATTAAAAAGACTGAGGTGTTCCACACAGYTCCATTCTCGGACCGCAACGTCAATTAACGAAATATCGGCAAAGACGAAGCTGATGATATATGAATGTTTAGATGTCCGTCAGAAGCTGATAGATGACTTTCCTTTTTCAAATAAAATTAGTAATTGTTTTTATTCTTTTCATGCATAAATTAAAAAGGTATTGCCACACAAGGTTCCACTCTCAGACCCGGCCACAACCTTTTGATAACAASATCGAAACCTAACAAGAAATTGTAAATTCTATATCGTTTCCTTTCTCTCTATCTCCCTTTTTACCAGGAAAACAAAATCAAGGTGTGCCACAAGGTTTCATTCTCGGACCGCAACTTTTTTTTGTCTTAGAAAAGCGACAATGATTACTGATTTTATCAACTTACTTACCCCGAGAGCGCTTACGCTTCGTTCCTACAAAAACAATAAAATTTTCATTTAATTTCTACTTTCTTGTTGCATGTACAGAAACCTTAACAGGTTTTTGTGGACGTCAATAAACTAGGCCTTCCGTATACGTGCCCTTGAAAATGAAAACACTTTGATTAACGTCCACCAAAACCCCTAATTGATACTGTCGATGCTGATGATGGTGTGATGTCACGTTGATAATGCTGCTGCTGATGCTGCTGTTACTGCTGATGGTGATAATCAGTGTTGATGATGTTGCTGATACTGTAATGGTGTTGATGCTGCTGCTGCTATTGCTGGTGTTGATGTATGGTGGTGATCAGCGATGATAATGTTACCGATAGTGATGATGTAGATGATGATGATGATGATGATGCTTATGGTAATGATAAAACATGTTATATTACCTGTATTCTATCAAGCCTGTCGTAAGTCTTCTTGATCAACGCCTTGACCAACAAAGGCGCCAACACAGCACTCTGGCTCTCTCGCCGAAACTTCTGCACCTCAGAAACTCTTTTCTCGATTTCATAAGAAGTCYTCTCAGCATCAGTACTGGGCTGTATAGCCGTGATCCGATCTTTAGGGACTTTTTTCTGTACTATTGGTCTCTGAGGCTTACTTGCCATGAAAGGTTCATTTTCAAAGTTGATATCGATATTTATAACAGACTTTTCGTACGCCATGATTTTCTGTAGTGCTTACTAGMTGTAGTGGTAACTTGATCAAATTCCTTCACGTAACTGCGAACGTGACAGTYCTAATGGTAAAATATGAAAACTGTTGCTAGCATTGAATAAAAAGGTGCAGTGGAAGACCAGTAACGCTATCTGATTCMAKAGATTGAATTTTTTAGAGCTGGTAWAGGATCGATGGTGGAAAACTTCAGTATSAAAGACTGTTACTTGAAATGGTGAAAATSATGRATTTKGAGATGAGGCAAGTAAGGTTTTRTACGAAAGGCCATACGCAACCACAAACCAATCACTCGCAAAAAAACATTCTTAAAATCACAAATCACACAAAAATTCATGTTTGATACACCAAGATTTCTAACCCAAGTCGTTAATGAAGGCTTCATAAYCTTTAATATTAATGATTAATTATCCAAGACACGTTTTAATTAGTACAAAGACACCTACCGGTTCGATGGAAGAATCTTAGAACTTGTTAGCCCAACAACAACAGTGGAACAAATAGCTTTTACGGAGTAAGAATCCAAGGTTTTATGTTAAGGATTTAGGAGTTTTTATCATTGWTGAAACAGTATACTTAAGACCATCGGCATCTCGTGTCGGGTTCCATCTGGAGSCATGGTTACGTCCGATGCTGCAATTTCTTTGCGTCGTCTTGTAAAGGACACTCCAATTTGATAATTAGTTCATCAGCCTTGAGTCAACCCTTCCAGGAATATCTTAGTTAGACATTCAGAACCAATTAAATGATTGAGAASGACTTAACTGTTCATATGGTTTGACGTTGTCTTGCTCGTTCTGTCAAAGAAACGTAAACAAATTCTTCAGTTTACGTCGGATGCCGGGCTTTGAGARTAATCCTTCGAGGATCTAAAAATCTTGCCTGTATTTTATACTTCTTAATTCTCAAAAAAAGCGACGAAGGCCTTGTTATTCGGTAATTCATAAAACTGGAGAGTATCTACGCGCAACTCGTCAACAGAGTTCCCAACAGGAGATGAAATATGATAGGAGAATCGTGCACACTTCAGACACTTAAGCTAATCAATTGTGAATTTTGATAGGTTCTCTTTACGTCCCAAGGGAATTCACAATTGTTCTTCAAAGAAAAGACCTTTTCACAAGTTTATTGAAGCACAAACTCTGTAAAATGCCTCGAGTATCGTAAAAACCCCACTGGAATGCAATGTTTGCGTTTAAAWTAACTAAGGAGCATATTTGGAGTCCTGATATCTTCGAATTCTGATACAAATCTGTTTGAGTTCCTTTAGATTTTGAAAGTTTTTTAGCCAGTATTGTGTCATTCTTAATTTTTTCTAATTTCCAACGAGTGCTTGATTACTACAATATTGACAGTGTAAACAAACCCAATTATTCCATAACCAAATAACTACGTTGTCACGCCATTTATTCTTTAAAAAAAAAAAAAACTTTGATTCTTGCGTTATTTTGAAGGGTTTTATAAAACAACCTCACGCATCTTGCCCAAATTTGATTTTGTTTTTCGATAGACCTTCATMGGACAAGTGTTTACGCGTTGCCAAGGAAACGATTAAGAAGAGCTACCTTATAAAAAAAACCCGGTTTTGGGATCCCTGTAGATAGCTTTATTATGTGACTAAGGTTGAGAGGTCTGTGTACTTGACAAAAAAAAGATTGGATCCATCATTAATAATTTCATCAATTTAGTTTTTTCACACAAAACCCGTTTCGGGATCCCTGTGGCGACTGTCAGTGTTTACGGTAAAGYTACCGGTAGTAGACAGTTCTTTTAGTTCGCACACAATGTCCAGTCAGGTACCTATCAAGTGGTATACCAGCTCATTATCATATTATCATAGCGTGAAAGCACAAAGGAACTAAGACAAGGGACGGTAAGTAAAATCATTAAATCTATTTAGTACGAATTATACCATAGCTTAAGTCGTTACTTTATTTCAAGCCTTTCTATTTCTATTTCCACTTCTGAGGGAAAAGAATTTTTATTCATTTTATGAGAGAGCTGGATATATCTGGCAACGAAACCTCCGTTTTTTATRCCAAAATAAACTTACTGCGGTTATTCATATATTTTTTCCTGCTTATTATTTCCCAATACTTTCCTACAATACAATACAATAACATATATTAAAGAGGGTAGGGTAATAACCCAATGAGTTATCTAACTAACTTATACGGCCCTCACTACAAACAAAGTTACAAAAAGTAAGACTATTGCTATTAAAATTTAATATACAAGTCATAATAATATGACTCTTGCATTGGATTTTAAATATCTAACTGGTTTAAACTYTGTTTTGACCTAGATGTCATTCAGAACCAGCAGGCTTATCTTTATTGGTTGTGTAACTTTGATTGACGTCCACCAAAACTCGACTTTAATGTATCGGACGAAACGCTTTGTTAGTCACGGCACATGGCATAGATATTTATTATTACTATAATTTGATGTTTTTCTRTTTCATTTCAGATGGCTTGAAGTTCAAAAGTACGGCCAGATATCACCATGCTTTATCGAGCGTTTCTGTGTTCAATAACCCTTTTTGCAACAGCATTATTTTTCATTTTTAATCTCAAACTTTTTTGGTGTTCACTATGTGATAAAGCAGCAGATATCCCGTATGAAAACAACAATCGCCATGGAAACGAGCATCTTTTATCAAAGTTCCCGGATGCAATCTCAAATGACCCGTATGATGCATCCATAATAAGCAATCTCCAAGAAMAGCAGAGCGAAGCAACGAGAAAACAATTTCTCTACGTTACGCAAACAGAAAGCTGTCTTCCACCACATTTTCTGCGCCCTGATCAACTTGGACAGCGGGGACACACATTCGATATTTTGATCCTTAGCTGGAAACACCGTTGTGAAGATTCAGGCAGAATGTACCCGAATGTAAAATACATCTTYACAGAGTACAACACCACGTGGTCAACAGGGAGAAATCTTCTTTTCTCACATATTTTACCAAATGTGGATAAATATCTCTATTATATATTCATGGACGATGAYGTCATGTTATACCATACCGAGCCCTATCAAGTCTTTCATCGTCATTCGTCGTTGCATAACGACAGGCTGTCACGCGATGTGGTTCACAAGTATTTGAAATTTCGTGGGAAGCGGTTGCAGAGAGAAGACAACCCTTATCGAGAGTTCGAGAGGTTTTTGCTGGAGTTTGAGCCGGCGGTYGGGTTGTTGAACTTTTGCTTCGAGCAACGACAGTACTGTATTTCAGAGTATGTCCCCGACGTCTGGGAAGCGTTTTGCAGCAAGGAAGGACCCTTTCCATTTCCTTTTATTTCGTATTCAAACTTCGACGGCGCATTCAACGCTTTCCACCGCGATGCAATACCACATTTGTTACCCTATCACGTGACCTACGAAGCAGTCAATTGGCAGGAGAGCCAGAAATATTTGATTTTGAAGRCGGATATCAAATTCCAGGGACAGGTTCTTTATAATTTACTCACAACAGCACACGGAACTCTCCACCGACCTTACCCAAGAAAGATCCATTGGCATGCAAACTGGAAGAGAGTACTGGATGATTTAAGACCTTCTATCAATGAAAAGTACCGTAACGAAGTCGAAAGTCTGTCATTCGACGAAACAAAGAGGCGCTTCGAYGAGATTAGGAATCCGCTTCCTCCTCGATCACTTATCGTTCCCTATCGGCATTATAAACTAAATAGGACTCGAAGCTGTCACCACCAGCCTCGTTTGTATGATGTGATTAAKGATATGTAAATTTAAATAGCTATAAATATTTTGGAACCATATTAGAAACGCAATTCAATCTGGGTTATCTTGTTGTTGAGATGACGAGACAACTGTGCTGCWAGTAATTACTGTTTTAAACGAACGGATCATCTGTAGGTTTGGTTTTGAGCGGAGTAAGAGTGATGACTTCTGGTTCATCTCTGGWCTGTAAAGCAACAAAATAGTGTTTCAATCAGTAGATTTATACCAATAAAACCTGCCCGCYACCTGACGGCTACCAGCCAGCAAACGAGTAGGACTTTCGATTCATGCGCGCAAGCGCCATTACATTCATGGATTTCGTTGTCATCAGCATCAGACACGGCGYAAGAATATTTTTTCCACGCGCGCGCATTTATTCGGAAATGGTCGGAAAACGCAAAGCTTTTAAAGGCCGGTTTAGACGGTACGATTTTCGCCTACAGCTATCGTATACGACACGCTCACGCCATCCTACAACTCGAGTCGTAGCGTGTAAATCAAGCCTACAACACGCCACGACAGACGCGAGCGTGTTGTATACGATAGTTGTAGGCGAAAATCGTACCGTCTAAAACGGCCTTAAGAGAACGTGCCTATGGAATGTCATGGAAACGCATTGATTGACGTCCACCAAAACCTACTTCGTCACCATGGCTAATTGTACGATTTCGCGCTGTGATTGAGAAGCGCTGTAAAGTTATTAGAAGCAGTAGCTTCACCAAATTCCTTTGCATTTAGGATGATATATCATTTGAATTTCTCTAGTAGTACAATCGATTCCAGTATACTTACCCTTGGAGAACAACACGAACATGTATGACAGCAAGCAAATATCGAGCCAATCAGACAGCAGATAAAAATCAATACGGCATCGGTTACCATAGTGATGTACATAAATCTGTTTGGATCTTTTAAGCCACATGACTTGCCGTCTCGTCCTACGCGTTCATTTTCACCAACTGCAAATTTGGAAAAACAATATTTTAACAAATTTTACACCTTGAAAATTTCAAATCACTGAACAAGTGCTCTGATATGTTGGGGTAGTGTCTTCTCACCGCGGTRTGGTTTCGATTCTTGACTAAACCACATATGAGAGTTGAGTTTGTTTGTTGTATTGTTCCCCTTGCCATGAGAGTTATTCTACGGTTCTTTTTCTYYCTCCGTAAAAATCAACATGTSAGTTGAGTGTTGTACAATATTTCAGTTGTATATATAGAGAATGTAATGGTATTTTCTTGATGGTATTTGCTGGGTGCTATTTGAACCTCCAGCGACCAGCGAACACAGGGATTAACGGTTGTAAAATACGATTCATTAATATGAAGGCTGTTATTTTATCAATCATTACTTACATGATCCACATACGATATACACAACCAACACGAACAGAATTGCCATTGAAGCAGCCAGCACACAAGTGATGATCGATAAAATCATGTATCCTATCACCTATAAATGAAATTCGAATATTTAGGGATTTTATATATTCTGAAAAAGTCTGAAAAGTTATTCGAAAGTAGAAAATTTTTGAAGTGTCATGACTGATTCGAGATAAAGAGAGAGTCCGCGGTGGTGAGGGGTGGTGTAGGGGTGGTGTCCTCACCTCTGGGGTCTCCGGTTCGATCCCTGGAATTGGCATCACATGTGAATAGAGTTTGTTAGGTCTCTCTTTTGATTCGAAGGGCTTACTCCGGGTTCTCTGGTTTTCCTCCCTCCGCAAAATTTAGCATGTTTCCAATTCTATGTGTGAGTTGGTCATGTGACTTTGATCAACCCCTTCAGAACAGAACGGGTTTGGTAAACAATGTGACGACCTAACGCGCATTCTGGCATAAAGACCGTGATGATGATGGTRGAAATTGTTTATAATTTATGATATTTATATAGCGCTCTTTTCCATATGGATGTGATCAAAGGCGCTTTCCAATGAGCTATGGCTGAGAGGTGGTTAGTATGAGATGTAGGTACTGAGGATGGTCACTGCCAGGGTTTCATTACGTCCTCAGTTGTTCTTAACGTCTCCAATGCAAAATGATGAACCTTACCAAAGCTTTTTGTTTTCGTACTCCTGCGATGATTCCAATGATAGCTGTGAAGAGCACCTGCCGGAAATTCGAAGAAATCATACCTCACTTTGACTAAATTCTTCCTGCTTTTGTAAGAAAGAACAAGGCGTCTTGACCGAAAGCAGTGACGTCACTGACATATATGGCGGCCATTTTGAAATCATTAAGTCTTTTGAAGTGGAAACTGAAGTCCACATGGATAGAAAACAGCAATGCAAATGTGAATAATTTTTCCCCATTTTCGCCCGTGTTTTTCCCTAGATGTCTGGATCACGTAGACAAATTAATATATTCTGAACGTTGGTTCCAATATGCAAAATAATCAATTTAAATACMACTTCTGTAGCATAATATTAAACAAATACGAGATATGATTGTTGTATGTTGGTTTTATTCGGTTTAAATGTGTTTCATCAACGCAATATCTTTGGTTTTGGAATTAATGGGTCAGAGACCCGAAAGCTTGGAATTAAATTATTTATGAAAGATTTGACAAAACGTATTTCAACCGAACTAAACCAATTGTATTATTRGAACATCAACTACTTACAGGTAAACCAAGCCAATAGACAGAGTAAAGCGTCTGCAGATCGGCATGTTTCAAGTCAGAAGCGCTTCTTGCGATGGTCAGTGCAAAAAATACCAAGTCCAAGACTATAATCAACACACTAATAACGAGGATCGATACTATGCACTTTCGTGCCTGTCGTGGTCTTAACTTCGTAGAAGTCCTTTTCATTTCGATTTTGGAAGTCTAGGCTCCTCTGGTCTAGGCTAGAGTATTGGAAGCAAAAAAATATACCACTTGAGAATTATATTATTTAAGAAAGGATTTGACATACGCACCAATATCAGTCACTTTCAGCAAATTTAAAATTTGCAAAGATGTTTTTTCCGTTTRTGTTAATGACGTCATGATTAGTGTCTGCTTCGTAACCAGGAAATTAATTGATAAAATTACAAATTTTTTTCAAAAAATGAAACCTTTACAAACYGACCTTGACAATCACTAACCTTTAAAGAAAGCAAACGCTTCAATGATAGAAAAAAATACTGTGGAATAACAGAGTCTGATCCAAGCGTGTCGATGAATAGATGAATAATGTTAAAACAATTTCATATTGGATTCGAGTGCTCATGAACCGGAAATACTGCTGATTTGTTCGTGAACGGAAGTCGACATGATATAGGGATTATAAGATTAATAATGTGTCTTCTTTGTGTTTTTCTCTTTGTTCGTTTTGTTTTGTTTCTCGTTTTGTTTTTTTGTTGTTGTTTTTTTGTTTTTGTTTTTGTTTTTTTGTTTTGTTGTTGTTGTTGTTTTTTTGTTGTTGTTGTTGTTTTTGGGATTTCAAAACAAAAAAGGACATTTAATTAATGCGAGTGGCTCAATTTACAATTTTTAGCTTCAATAGACTTACTTGATGAATAAAAGAATCAAGTTCAGTCTCGACTTGAAACCATTGTTTCGTGGTCATCCAAGCGAATTCGGGATAGGTCTATTCTATCGTACATTTTTGTCCCCAGGCTATTTTCATTTTTTCGCCTGAAAGAAAGGCGGGGCACGAGCATGGCATAACACTGTTCAAGTGGAGCTAAAAAGTATGGTATAGGACTTCTTGCTGGCTTTACTTGTGTGAAGTGCACTTCATCTTGYCAGCTTTTTCCGTGACAATGCCATCCAAACACTCGATATTTTTAACAGCTTAAGTGACTCTTGATAACAAGCCAGTATACAATTCACAGTCGGGCACAGCGCCAGAATGATCTATTTTTGTTAATTTTGCCGGATATTAGAATATCGAAGCTTRAAACAATAAGCCCAAAACTTAGAAAGTCATTATAATTGGACAAAAGCAATTGGGAATACTAATCTCCCACTTGAAGACCAAGCTTTTGGGTTGAGACAGGAATCGTTTACGCCATGGTGAATGCGAGCAAAAACATTTAGTTTTATATCTAATTCAATTATATAAAAAAAAAGGAAAAAAAAAAAAACCCAAGTAAACAAAAATGTACTACTTCCTAGCTTATAAATAATTTCATCATATATAGAAAAAATGTAAACAAAAGTACARTAAGGACTGATCGATCTCAACTGAAGTCCATACGACGCCTCAGCTTCCGTTTTGCGGATGTCTCAAGGGTATGGCACAGTGAATGCAATTCAACTTTAGTTTCTTTAATTTCTATCGGTGTATGTGGGTTCAAATTACATTATATTTTACACCTTAAAGTTCTTCATTGGACGCAATCTTTTTCTAGAAAGAGTGACTATGTCGACARTGATGAATTTATTTTTGCTTACATTTTATTGGCTGATTTAGGAGKATGTGTGTGGGGGGCTGGAGGTATACATTCTCGTGGCGAGTCGTAAGATTAATACATTATTTTAATCAACCAGTAGAGGCAAACATCTGCACAGTATTTATAAACCAGACATTCGGCACAGACAAGAGCTAATCGCCTGATCTGACTTTACATTTAACTGAATGCTTCTTCGATAACATCAAATTAAGGTAAGAACTCAAAAACAAAACAATAACAACAAGAACAAAAGAAACACAAAAAACCTTATTTGAGGAGGGTTTTTTTAATGAACAAAAGTAACTGCTATTAGCTAGAGCTATGGCGTTAAACCAACTAATGAATATCAAGAAAATAACTGTTGAAAACGTAGCAAATGAAAGTTGAATCAAAACGAAAAGAAAAAGAAAAAAAACCCGACAAAATCAAAAATCGAAAAATTCGTTCCCATTTATTCTTAGAGTTTTTGTAAAAAAAACCTTAGTATTTTCGTTTCCTTTCGGAAAAAAAATCYGGGCAAAGGAACTGGGCATCTTTTGAAACTGACATTTTTAGTTTTTTGGGTAAATCTTAAACCAGTTGAAGCGGTATGTATTTTTTAAACACTCTTCAAGTTCTAAGGCCTTGTTTACATCTAGTGTGAAAATTCAAATGGCTTAATGAGAAACAAAATTCATGATCTTCATACGTACGAGGAACTCTTTTAAAACGATAGGATTCACTTATTTTTTCGTAATAATTGCAATTTACGATCGACGATAATAGCATCTATTGCGGCACGTTTACAGGAACAACTCATATTCAAATTAGTACAATTCACTTAAAATTTTTTTTCCAGTTCATCAAAACCTAAACCTCCGAAGTAAGAAACGGAAATAATACGTCGAATTTTCGAGGTTTTGCTGTGAAAACTTAATCAAAATTTTGTTGGCAAA